TGAGGCTTTGGGATGGGTCAGCTGGCTGTGAGAACCCATAAAAAGACTTGGCTGACAGATGATGTGGAGGACTACCACCTGGCACATCCATCCTCATGACAACTCACAGCTCTCTGACTCATGGACAAAGTGGTTTATTAGACAGAGTTTGATTAAAAATAAAAACTAAGTTAATTGCAAGCCACTTGGTGACCCTGATGGCTTTGGGTCAGGATGGGCAGGAGACACTTGGGCAGGGCTGCTCCATCAAGGCTTATTTTCCAGATATAGTCTTAGAATATTGTAAATATGAGGGTTTCTGACGCACATGCCCAATTTACAGGAGAGGGGTGAATGCAAACTACATCAAAATAAGGCTGCAGAGGTGGGTCATGAATGTCTATAATCTTCTAATCTTAAAATATACTTTGTTCTGGTTTCAGAGGAGAGAGGAGTCCATAGTGTGTAAAACCTCTAACATGTCTCAGAAGCATCCAGGCAATGGCAGAGTGTGGATAACAAAAAGCAAACCACATATCTGCCTCTTTGCAGACACTCAGGATCTCATTTACAACATGCACCCTTCTCCTTTCTGACTTGCTCCATCTGCTTTTTTGTGCTTGCAACACACTGTGTCACTTAACAGGAGGGATTAGATGGGAGCTTGCTAGTGCTTTGTCTCATCTCCCCACCTGGTTGTGCCCACCTGTTGTCCTTCCCATTACATCCCTTGGGAAGTCATTTAAGCCTCTCTCCATTGCTCAAAGGTATACCTAACCAGCTCCTGCCAGCAGCTTGCCTGACCTGAGCTCACTAAGTATGGGCTGGCACCAACCTTGGAGAATGGTGGGATGGCAGTGACTGGGTGCTATGGGGCAGAGATCAGCAGACAATCACCACTGGCATGCTTGGGAAGAGATGCCACCACTGAGGGCAACAGAAGCGGAAGGAGGACCAGAAACACTCCTTGGACAGGAGGCAGATGACACAAACACTGTGCCCAGTGAGGAGGCACCACAGGGAGGATAAAGCCTTTTTCTTCTCCCTCCTTGGACTTGACACTGATGCCTACTTAGGGTAGCCTGCTGCAAATGGAGCTCCTGAAATAGCTGCCTGGCTCACAGGATGGATATAAATGCCTTCTGGAGTCTAGAAAGACAGATTATAAGAGTGTCATCACTGCTTCATGATGAGGAGGGAGCAATGTTCAGGTTGGCAACACTGAGCAGGTTTGAGGTGGTTGCTGGAGGCAATGATGGGTGGTGGTAGGCTTTTGAGGATTGACTAGGAGATTTCTCACTCTCATCAAGTGATGTGGGGAGAGGAGCAGGTGGTCCCTGGCTCTCCAGCCACTCCCATCCCTCCCTGCCACACCGTGGGAAACCAGTCAGGAGCATGTGGGGGTCCTCAGCATCTCACCAAATAGCTCCATGGAAAAACAGAAAAACTAAAGTCCAAAGAGAACAAGGGCTCTCCAGGGAGTCTTGCCTCAACTGCGAACACAGAGGTGGTTGAGGAAGCAATGAGCTGAAGCGAGCAGCCCCTCCTTGTGTGATTGCAGCTCCTCACGCCTCTGCTTTATGTTCAGTTTTAAACCTGAGATAATTTGGTTTTGTCACGGGTAGTTTGATTTAAAGATAGAAACGAGTGACAAGAGGAGGAACAAGGGAAAGGGAGAGAAACCATGTGGACCCAGTAAAGAAAAAAAACAACACTCCAAGGATGACACAGGACACAGACATGCACGAACACAGACCCCTGAGGTATCAGCTTTGCAAACTAGTGCGAGACAAGGGAGGAAGCAAAGACAGCTGCAGAGAGAGATGTGCTTTGCGGTGGAGGCAGCTCAGTGCCTCCAGCTTCAGAAAGCAGCTTCTCAGCAATCCTGACATTGGGGTTTAGGGGCAAGAGCTTGGCTTCCCACCAGATGGAAGGAAGCAGCCAACCATATCTGAAAATAAGTCACTTGTGCCCCTCCATGTGCTTGCAGAGCTTCATGTCTGGACAGCTTATCATCCGCTGGATGGAGGGGAGCCAGCCTGGAGGGCAACAGGACTGGGGGAGTCCTGGCACCCACACACGCTCCCTATGGGTTTCTCAGATGTGAAACAAAGGATGTGGGAAGCCAGAAGAACCGCCTCCCCCAAAGGGAAAGTGGTGCCCATACTTCCCAAGCAAGGTAGCTGAGGTGAGGGGGAGCTGAGGGGCTGGGGCAGGCAGGCAAGACACCTGCCAACAAGAAATCCCAACTACCACCAGCCTCCCATCCCTCCCTCTGCTGTGGCAGCTTCTGACGCTTCCCCATGCAGCTGCAGGTGACATCCTGCAGCCTTCCATCCACTTCAGGTGACTCCTACCTTTCCGTCTCCAGCATGGATGGGCAGCTAAAAGGAGGGGAGGGGAGGAGAGGGGGTATGGCTGGGATTAGAGTGATGGCCTAGGATGGGATGATGGCTGGATGGCGGTAATGGCTGGGATGGAGATGAGGAGAAACGGAGACCAAGGTGGGAAGAAGAGGCAGCAGCTTCCAGAAGAGTTTTCTGGCTCAGTTTGTGTCATAAGAAGGTTTTATGGTTTGCTCATTTACTTGGTAATTTCTAGAAAAAGTGCCCAGAAGAGTCTCCTGTCCCCTTGTTGGTATGCCCAGAGAGAAGGGGGGGGAAATCTATGTTGTGGACATTAACTATAGAAGGAGCCACAGGCCTCAGATATTGCTTAGAAACTCGTATTTCAGATTTAAATACCATACACAGTAAAAATAGAGCTGAAAGTACCGCCCCACATTGTCTGCAAATCATTGCCAGAATGAACAGCTTCAATAAATTAAAAACAAAACAAAAAAAAATTGAAATATTATTTACGTCTCAATAAAAATTGCAGTAAAACCATTTACCTTTTCTTCTGTGTGTGTGTTTTCGGGTTTTTTTTTCTTTATATTATATATAATATATATTTATATATGTATAGGGCTGCTCCAGTGCAGCATTTTTAGGATACTTAGCCAGAGAAACACAGGGGAGCATGCTTAGTGCACCAGGGTGCAGGGAAGGGGCAGCTGCGGTCTCCCTTCCAGGTGCTGTGCCCCATCACCACAGCCAAAATTGCAACCCCTGCCTCTTCCCACTTGAGTTTTAGGCCCAAATTTTGAGTGTGGGTCTCTGAGGGCTGGGGCGCCCTGGACATGGGTGGGAAAGGACCACGGTGAGCGCAGGAGGGACACTAAGCATCCACCACTATGTTTCCTGACTCTGGAAAGACTCGTCCACCTTCGCTTCGGTTTCAGCGCTTGCGCTCCCGAAAATGCACGCGCAAGTATAAATACACCCCCGACCCCACCGCCCCCCTTCCCGCTCCCCACAGCTTAAATATCCCCCCTCCCCAGCC